AATTATTGCATTAATATTTGTTCGTTAATAAAACCAATATAATGTACCAAAAATGTTATTATATCACTTTAACTAAGCCATTTATGTGTACTGAATGGTGTGGTAGAGGCCTGTAGGCACCCACGCCAGTACCGCTTTTCTGCCGCATAAGTGCATTTTCTACGGAACTGTTCAAAAGTTTTTAAAAAATAATCAGCGTTTTGGAAAGAAAAATATATTCACCAGATGGTTTATTTCAGCACGTTTTGCGTTATTGTAGGCCGTTTAATTACAAATGACGCTTGATTTTTAACTTGAAAATTTTTTTGTTAAAAAAATTGACTTTAGTAGTGTTTTTCATAGTCTAAGCCAATTATTTTTTAATATTTCTTCATGGTTTATTATTCTATGACTATTCAGCTTTAATAAAAGACCAACTATGAGGAAATTAAGCCAAATGCTGATTCGCAGTGACCAAAAAACTAACTAAAGTCAAAGTCGTCAATCCGCCATCTTTGGACGCCATTTTGGGGCAGTGCGTTCACTTTTTTTTGTGGGAACATTGGCTTTTTTTTAATAAATAGTTACAAGGAACACAACGATATGCAATTTATAGGGATGTGGGGGGGGGTGCACGGTAAGGGGGTCTGGCCCACTGTGTACAATAATTAGATATCTATTGTCTGTTTATCCCAAAAAAAATCATCAAGTAACTTGTTAGAAAATTAAATTAGTAAATAATTTGATGACTTTTTGCTTTGTGAAATCCCAACATCATCCACTTACAATTAGCGTGACAATTTTTGACATATCCATGGCAGGCAATGAAAATCTCATAATTTTAATTTAGTAAACTTTTCTATGGAAAAAAACAGTTTCATAACTAATAGTCCTGCAATCCATAATCATTTATTTATAGGTTAAATATTCAGACATACTTTCAAATCTCTTGAGGCATATATGAGCCTTTCGGTTGAGAGAATAACTAACCCCAATCTCAACATTCTTTATTATTAATTTTAGTGATGTTTCTAGTTGAAAAAAATTATACCTTTATTCACAGTTTTATATTTCATCGCTGCAATCACCTACTCTGGAATCAACTTACTCACTGTCTGTACCGATATACCTTTTCCAATTAGAAATACTAGCTGGCCATTGCAAATAATTTGCATAAAATATCAGTCATAAAACAACTGATAGAATAGTATCGAAATATGTTAATGCAATGTATTACTGCGAAGCAATGTGACTGGGAAAAAGATTACCATCTATACCGACAGTCAGGCAGCAATAGGTGCTATCAACAACTACTACATATATTCAAAGGTCGTTAAGGAATGCAACACAGCACTTAACGAACTAACTGAGCACAATAGAGTTATGGAAACAAATTTAGTAATTACTGGACCGATAAGAAACAGCGACATTCGAAGCTGTTCCTTAAAGGTCCATGTGAAAAAAGAAGCAAACTGCTACTGAATATGGACAAAGCAGCCCTTAAAAAACTTACAGCAATCTATACAGGTCACTGTAAGCTAAATTACTATATGTTCAATCTCCGAGTCATGACGAATCCGCTATGCAGATTCTGTCAGGAGGAGAATGAAATGGCCTTTCACATCGTGTGTAGATGTGATAGATACACAAGGCTGAGACTGGTAGTATTTGGGGAAGAACGAATGGATCTCCCCAGTAGCTATAAGTCGGTTAATGCAACCAGCCTACTTAGATACGCGGAAGAGACAAGAATAACGTTTTAATTAAAAACGACTAACTGAAATTGGCGCACAATAGACCCATTAGGGATCGACGTGCTCAGGGCGAAAACTAATAAAAAAAAATAAATAATAATGCAATTTATTATGAGTTGGAAGAATTCCTTTTTCTTTTCTTGGTTGAATTAAAATAGCTAATTCATAAAAATAAAACAAAACATTTGTACAATTTACTGTAGTCTATATCTTTGCTCATAATGGTCCGATTTTGATATTTTGTTTTTATTTTGTAGGAAATTTTGTAGCCTTTTAATTATTCACAGAGTTAATCTACCATAAATTGCATACTTTTCCTGTTATGACTAAATTAAGTTTGTTTGTTTTTCTGAGATGCTAGGGAGTTGTGTTTAGACAATCTTTAAAATGACAGTCCGATAATTAGAGCTAACGAAGATATGGCGAAATAATACAGTGAGAAAAAATATATAGTATATATTGTATTTATTTATAAAATTGTTATATAGTTGTGTTTTTTTAATAAATACAAACAATTTGATGCCATCTTCGTGTTGATATTTATCACACAGGAAAGAAGCTCAAGGGAATCTCCATTTGTCTATAGGTTTTCATGTTATAGCCTTGATTATCTGATTTGTAATTTTGCTAGGCTGATCTCTTTTATTCTTTTCAACGGCAGGTACACTCGATTTTTAACTACAGAGGGCTGAAAATTGTAATTTTTCATAAGAATCAGAATCCATGACAACAGTGGCATCCAGACTTTCTATCGCAGGTATAAGGTTGGGCTCAAACGGAAACTGAAAAACTGTACATTGACTTTAAAAGGCAGTTACTTAATCTTAAAAATCTGGTGCGGTGCACGCATCACACAACATTCACTTACCACCCTCTTAGCACAAATAAGTATTTTCAGGCAAAGCGAAGTCAAAGTAAAAATTATACTCTATATTTATTTATATTTCATTGTGGGTATTTTTATTTGTATAAGTACCCTCATATCTACAAATTTTAATATTTATACCACTGTAATCTGTACAATTAAATATTAAATAATACCAACAATAGCATTTATGAAAACCACATATGTTTATTTAATATTGTTGGATTCTGTATTATGTTAATCTCATGATATGTATGGAAGTGTGTTCTAATCCTTCGGACGAGCTTGATTTCGCTCATATTCCTTTGGTTTCTCAATTACAACTATTCTCCGTTACGATCTCATATTTCTCTTTAAGTTATTTATCAAGTTCTTTCATATTTTATATTTAACCATTTTTCATACATAAATTAATGTGAAATAGTCAATTGTTTCAAATAAAAAAAATTAAAGGTACTTTAGAGGAAGCTAATATTGAAAATTAGCCATTTAAGCCCTATTATAACCAAGAATAATACCTAGAATAATAACCACATTTTATTTAAAACTGCTTAATTGTACACTAATATGATGAATTTAATCAAAATCGTTAGAGCAGTTTTCGAGATAATCGTAAAAATGTGTTTAGTCCTTTGTATAAAGTGCCACTTCCGGTTAGCCGATTTTGACAAAAACAGTTGCTGTAACATCCCTAGCATATAAAAAGCTTAAATATTCAATTTCACTTCTATACGACTTTTCGTTTTTGAGCTAGACTGTTAACACACATACATATACAGACCATTTTGCGGGACTTGGTTATTTGGACTTAGAGTACCTCATTTTTCCGTTAAAAACTCAAATTCAAAAATTTTCACGATCGTAATACTTTCCCTTACTATATATTACATATATAGGTAAAAATTGTCAAAGTTATCTTTTACTACACAAAAATCAGAGATTAGGAAATAGGTTTCGAAAACAGTATGTGTAAAAATGATAATTAATATTTTATAGCAGTTCTTTGAAATCAATATTAAAAGCAATAATACATAAATTATAATAGGCTTTATATTTGTAAATAATGGTCCGATTTCCATGTTGTTGTTTTTTTGTTTTGTAGAAAATTCAGCCAATTTTCAATTAATCATGGTTCTAATCAAGAAAAAAATGTATACTTTTTAAGTAATTCGCAAATAAATTTTCTTTTCATTCATAACTTTTTCCCCTGAAATTTAAGGTGGATGTTACTATGATTCGTCACTGCTCCATTTAATACCATTCCGTTTGATACCTCATTCATCAAAATACATCGCTCCTGAGTGCCGCAAAAGGGTCGTGTTATATTATGGTCACTAAAATGATATTACTCAAAAATGCTGAAATTGGAATTAGTCATTCTGTCAACTGAAAGGCTCAGAGACTAAACTTGTATAGTTTATAAAAGCAGACGAATTACTAGATTTTCATTGTCTACCGTCGATATAATAGACTTTTTGTAATTTTAATGGTCTTAATGTTTTGTTATTTGTAAGCTTTAAGCTTTAGCTCCATTTTTTATTTAATGAAATTTACAACTGTATAAACAATACAACTAATAAAAATGCACACATTGGAAATAATGACATGAACAGACTAGAAGAGATAGTGCCCGGTGGTAGCAGCACTCCCCATTTAATTCTAGGTGAGAAGATCACGTGGCCATCTTCTTTCCAGATGCCTAAAGGGATTATCAGGAATCCAGGAAGAAGCAAGGCTGGAAACAACTGGATTTGGATGGGACTGTAGTTTATCATGAAAGGATAGGTATCTGGCTCAGGCTAAATCAGCGACATATGGAACATTAAGGTCTTTATGAATGGTTTTATTTGTGACAAAATATGGGGCCTTAAGGATTTTGGATTGTAAGGATTGGATACGATAGAAATTCGATGGTTTGGTAGAATCCAAGTACCCAACCAAAAATGTTCAAAAACAAAAAATAAGAAAGAAAGTCAGCAATTAAAGTGATTTTAATATTCTATTAGAATATACAATACCAAGATTTGGTATATTTGATTTGGTTATTTCTTAGGTAAGCAATAATCTGTTTCCCAAAAAAAAATTACGATCTTAGCGATAGAGGTCGTTAATTTCCATTTTTTAAAAAGATTTTCAATATTAGAGAAAATTTTAACATTATAGCTTGTCTGCTGACTGATCAAACTGGTCCAAATTTATCTGGAAGTTTCAACATAAACCACAACTTTAACAAAATTAGGTTGCAGAATTTTCTAATAGTTCTGGAAATATGGCTTATTAAAATTTTATACTCTGTAATTGTCAAATTAATGTTTGACATCTACATTTATGAAAGGCTATGTACCATTCAGAAGTTTATAGACAGTAATTATTTATGTGTAAAGTAGTACTCAAAATCTTACTTCTGCTTTCATATATGCAGGAGTTGCTTTTGCACCGGAAATAATAACATATGGTACCCTATCACCAAGCTTAGGGGCAGAACCAGCATCTCTTTTCTTCATTTTATTAGCAAGTTCAACATGAGCTTGTTTACCAGCATAATCAGTTTTGGCAAGTTCTTTGGTAATAACTAACTGAGATATATCTAAGCGGTTACAAAGTAAATCACTGATTTGTTGCTTAGCATAACTGATTGCACCTTCAGGATCTCTATTAAAATATATATATAGAACCATTAATTAGTAAAATTGATGTTTACACTTTTTATACTTATAAAAATAAAATATAAAATACTTACTTATCAATTAACATTTTCTGAAGACAAGTGTTCATCATGTTAGCTACAAGAGGACAATTATCTCGTCGAACAGTTTCCAAACCTTTACAATCCATTTTATCATATTTATCAACCCTTGTATAATATAATCCAGCATAACGCTTTTTATTTATCAACAAATATGGCCAATATACCTTGAAATTAAAAAAAGAAAGCATATAAAAATTTATAATTAGGAATATAAAACATACTTATTTTAGCAAATGAAATAATAATTGCAAGAAGTTAGTATGCAGTCAACAGTCAGACACATATGTGGAAGTTATGTTGGTTGGATAGCCTAGGTTTCGACCTAGATTGTAGTGTAGGTCTAAATCAGGGCTTTCATCCAGCAATGCCGTTAAAAACAAGGGAAATGATGATCTGTTTCCTACTGTCATAAACATTACTTCCACTGCTCGGCACTATGATTCTACAAGGACCTGAACCTGCTCAAGGAGTTCAAGCCACTCATTCCTGTCTTTTGCTAGTGTCTTCCATCTCCTTACTCCAAGCAGCTTGAGGTCCTCCTCGACGTCATCCAACTATCTCACTCTTGGTCTTCCTCTGTATCGTTTTCCTCCAATTTTTCTATACTGCTGGTGTCTTAGCATCCTTTTCACATGTCCGAGCCATCTGAGGAAGGCTTCTTTCACAAAGGATACCAGTTCTGGTTTCCAATACATTGTACAGAGCTCACATTTTTTCCTAAATCCCCATGTATTATTTTCTCTTATTGGCCCAAATATCTTCTGGAATATTTTCCTTTCCCAGACATTGAGTCTCCTTTCCCTTTTATTTGTCAAAACCTAGGATTCACTGCCATAAGTAACTGTAGGCCTCAGAATGGTTTCATATACATATTCCTACCCCACTATAATTTAAAATTATATTCTTTTGTCTATTGTAACTTCTATATTCTCATATTTGTATTTGTTTTTAATTATTTTCCCTTATTTTTATTATTGTTATAGAGGTTTTTTTTTGTCCTGCTGAAGGAAAAAAAAAAAAAAAAAAACAATACAGAAAACTAAGGCTGAAATGTTGGTATACATTAAACAATAATTTTTTCCTGTTTTATTTCCGACTACACACCCAGATATTATTTCCTTGATTAGTTAATTTTAATAATACTAGTCATTTTACCTTTTCAAATTCCAGTTTTATAGGAGCAATAAATTTGGCAGAAATATTTTCAGCAGCTTCCTTTCCTAAATCCATCGCTTCTTGAAGTGTTTTAACACCAAATTTAACCATAACTGAATCAGTATCACCATAAATAACCTAGGAAATACTATAAATTATGCTGAGAATAACTCAAAATACAATAACTATTGTCTTAATAAATAAATAAAATACCAAAGAGTCACACTTATATCCATTTTTGATGCAATAGTGTTGTTCTACTTCCTGTTTAGTTCTTTCTATCATAGTTCGACCATAAGCAGTGACACTCTACAAAAATATATAAATAAACAACATAACAACCTAGGTAAATTCTTCTCATATTAAAAGTTCAAAGAAAAAAAAAATTAGATGATAAATACATCAAATGTATTCACATAAACATTATTCTGTACCACAGAAGGATCTACTTTCTCTTTGATGTTAAAACTTGAACATAAATCAGTTAATGTATCATATTAAATCTTAACGCAATCCTTATTAATGATAATATCACACTAACTCAATAATGAATATTTGGTGAGACCATTTATATAACATTCTTTACCTCTTCGGATTCAGAATTACATATAAAGATTATTAGCTGAATTTTGAATATTGATCTGTAAGATTCTTTTTATTATTATTTTTTTTTTTTTTTTTGGTTTAGCTTTCTTGACAACTTTCAAATGAGCATCTACAATGATTCAGCACATGTATAGTTTTTTAATTATTTGAATACTAATAAACAGTGAACAGGTTTCCATAAGATCTGTACAAATTACTTTTAATTAAGAAATACAATATTTTGAGGGATATTGTGATTTCTCATTGAAATGATTAGATAATATACTAGAAGTAAACATATAGCCTATAATATAGTGATTAAATAAAAGTTAATCAACAACAAAACTTTTTGATAACAAAAAACACGAAAGTTGGATGATAAAAATAAAAACTTAAATTAAAAATTTAAATAAAATTACCCCACTTATTTCCAAACAAGGAAGTTTTCCAACTTGAGCTCCAGTAAAACCATAAACAGAATTTGCACTAATTTTCAATGCCAACTGTCGTCCATCCAGCACCTTTTTCCTGAAAGGATCAGTCTCATTTGCCAATTCTTTTTTAGCCTTTTTACGGGCTGATATAAGGCTTTCTAAAATTTGAGGAAGTAGGCCTTTACGCATAGAGCTCTTAACAAAGTAACAGTTGGCTGGAGTTGCAGAATACTGATCAGGAGTCAATCTAGGAGTGAATAAATTAAATATTCAATTATAAATAAATAAATTTATAAACATATGATAAGTTGGATTCTGGAAAATGGAAAAGAAAAGAGAATTTCAAGCATAATAAAGTAATATTTATTATAATTGGTAAATGGTTGACTGTCGTGGATAATGAAGAGAAGAATAGTTGGGGTGGTCAGTCAAAAAAGAAGGCAAAAATAAATGATAATATTTATTTTTACATATGGTTATGATTATATTATCATGGGATTTTAAGAAGGATCGGGTAAAAGAGAGGTCTTTGAAAAATTCAGGAGAAAAAGAAGAAGAGGAGAGCGGTGGGTGTAAGAGATAATTGGAAATAATATTACAGATGGAAACACGTGACAACTCCTTATTTTCTTTTGAAGTGGTGAAAAAATCGTCTGCGTAAATATATTCGAGGTCAGTGATAAGTTGTGGAATAATTTTGACAGAAGTGTTGGATGTGGAAAAATTAGGTCCTAAACTTAAAATATTAGTAACTTTGGAGGGGATGTCAGTCTACCCATTCTTCTTTTCCTGCAGGATAAACTTTGTTTTTAAGAGTTACCTGGTATTATGTAAAAATAAATATTATCATTTATTTTTGCCTTCTTTTTTGACTGACCACCCCAACTATTCTTCTCTTCGTAATATTTATTAATTATAAACCAGAAATTTGTTAATTAACCATGAGGAATTAGGTATTATCTTAAAGTATCATAATAATAATAACAATATTAGTTCTCTGAGCTTCATTTTAAAACAATCTGGAAAAGGTTATTCCCTAAATCAGGAAATAATGATTTCTCATTCTTTTTATATGAATAAGTTAAACCTTTAAGCAAAGGGACACCAGATCTTCTGGAGTTAGATCATTTAATGAAGTTATATGGATGAAGCTAGGAACAGAGAAATATACAACCCTTAACATCCCAAAGAATAAAGATTCAGCAAACATTGAACTTTCCAATAGTGCTGGCTGCTACCAATCATCTTCAAATAACTGAGTCCTAAAATATCTTGGTTTCTTATAGCTACTTAAATTCAAAAATGAGGTCAAAGGAATCTTTGAAGAAGAATTTAAGAAACAGGTCAAAAAACTAGTTTATCGGCAGGAAATTTTGTAAAGCTTTGAATACCTGCGGTTACATATTCATTTCGAGTAATAAAATATTATGGCACAGATCTGGAAAAGGTGGACTGCTTCTTAAGAACACAAATGACAAAATTAAGGCAATGTTACCCAAATTCTTCAAGGTCAAAGCTAAATTTGCCTAGAAAACATGGCCATAGGGGCTTATTACTTTATTGAAGGCTAACATGAACAAGAAGCAAAGCTGGAGTATCTGTTTTATGTATAGTGGTTCATCTATAGATCTTTTGACCCATAAAAGTAGAGTAAGTATGGAGAAGACACTTCACCGATAACTGTAGAATTTTTTCAGCAGCCTAGATTTGTTATTAAAGTAACTCAAGTTGGGCAGCTATGAAGGGCAGGTCATGTGGCAAGAATGGGAGATATGCTGATTTCAAATATCCTCACTGAAATCGATAGAATAAGAAGAATTGGGAAAACAAACATGAGGTGAATGGAAGATGTAAGAACCTTACTATAGACTAGAGATCCTGGCAGAGGAACTTGAATTACACAACTATCATTGCAAATTCTTCAATTGTACGTAATATCATGAAATTTTTCGGAGCACTAAACTTGTCATCTGCATTGTCCTTTTTGACGGAGGCACTAATCGGATGATTTGGCCATTAGTTGCATTAAATACTTCCGCTAACATCAGTCAAGCAGAATTACCTTCATTTATTGTTAATCCATCAGTTTTTTTATTTTCTATGACACTGAATGTAAATAATAACCATTTTCTATTTTCTAAAAATTGTTTCCCTTTTTTTGTTTTTACCAAAATAAATAGCATAGAATTTATAACTAATGACAATGTAACAAAGCAAGTGTACACATCTAACTGATTTATACTATGGTACAAGAGGTTTGAAGGTTTCATAATATAACGTATGTTCCTTGAATGGCATCTGTTCTTATTAAAATACCTTACCAATAAAATTAGGTCAAACTTTAAGCAATCCTATTCAACCAAGACAGATTAAAAATTACCAGGAGCACCTGGACATTTTAATTGTGCTTAAGTGTTAACTTGAGTTAGTCAACAGAAAAAAGCTTACTTTAAAGAAATTGTTGGTGCAACTGACTCAAAATTATATTTAATTTAATTTAAAACAACACATAATATAAAGTTTTATTTACCCTAATTTATTTATAACTGACTGATTTATCAGAGTGCTATAACATAGATTATGAGCCATCATTATACTTGGATACAAAGAGCTAAAATCAAGGGTTGCAATGGGGTCTTGATAGTAACCTTTAATAGGTTCAATGACAGTTGCTCCTTCAAATTGATCCTGAGCGTCCACTACCTTATGAGTAGGCAACAGATATCCAGATTCAAGGCTCTAAAAAAATAAAAATAAATAAATAATAAAAAGTGAAAACATGTGTTTAAAAAATCAAATCAAATTCATAAAATAATAAATAAATTCTTAGTAAGCGAATTAATTCATAAAAATCAGATTGCAATCGCTGGACGTATGGACAAGCAACCTTCCTGATGAAGGCCTGAAACATTAATCCGAAATGTTGGCATAAAATAAAATACTATTTCTTTATTTTTTTTCTTCTCTCGACTAACTTCAATAAAAAGAAATGTTTATAAATACCTAACTTGGAAAGTTTTGTTCTTGGTAAGTTATTGATCCATCAACGTGTTTAAAATAACTATATATACAAATAATTTTCGAAAATATTGAACATTCTATATACTTTAAATAAGCCACTATAAACTTTATAAGTAATCGACGTATTTACATTATTAAAATTCAAAGAAAAAAAATAATGACTAAATCAAAGTTCGCAACAACATAAAATTTAAATGAAGTAATTTAAGGAAAAATTTGAAAACAATGTAACACAAATCTTTTGTTCTTTAACCGCAGTTTCGTCCTCATAAAATATGTCTTCATCGGTTCCTTGAGTCTGTACTACACCAAGTGTTCCTGCATAATCCTGTTCTTGTGATATTTGGAAATTAGCATTAGCCATAAGAGCACACATTTCACTAGTTGGTGCAGCCTCCATGGCTTCTGATGCCTGAACCAAACCTCCCATAGTAGCTGTTTTCAATCTATTTCTTTGTTTTGTTTTAATTAAATTTATTTTGCTAAAAACAAGTTCACACTCAGCATTTGAATGAGGCAATGACAATATGTTCATAACTAATTGAGGAAGCCGAGTAAATTCTTTTTCCCCAAGAGGGTTTTTTTTTTTTTTTGTTGAATAATTCAGCCCATAAATGGTCTATACTCTCTTCTTTATCAATTGTAGCTAAGGGCTGAAGTAAGGGTAGTCCACCTCCACTCATCAACTAAAATCTGGTGTTCATTTTCATTGCAGAGGGGAGGCAAACTTTTTAATATATTAATAACAGATGGAGTGGTTTCTCGTTGCTTATGTGAAATACTCTTCTCTGGATTAAAAACAGAAATAATTTTTCATTAAAATTATCTTAAAAGTATCTTTTTTTAACCTCAAAACAAAGATTTTTTAAAAATAAAAGGCACCTGCCTCAAAAATCTTTTAACTTTTCAGTGGCTCATTTCGTTATTAATACCTCCCATTACCTTTACTCCCAAATAAATTTGATTCAAGGGTAAATACTTGTGTTCGTTTTCGATATTTATGGCTTCCACATTTTGACATGAAATGACATATTTTCTGTCCATAAACAATAATGCTAAATCAGCATAGGTTTCTTTTATTTTGTCGTCAATTCGAGTAATCAAAACTTTGTTTGATTGAAAATAATTGTTCAAATCGACTATTTTTGGAAGAACTCCTTGAAGAAATATAATAATATAGCTGTGTGAATTTATCACATAAATAATGATAAATCATATTAGTCTTTCCGTTAACCACCTGTCTGTGAAAAAAAGTTTGAGATCATCCCACTGTTTCACAATTCTGTCGACGACCTCCCGTAGAGACAGCCACCGCGTCTGGGATGGGTGTAACATTTTATGTATTTCCACTCCAACAAAATTTTGAAATTGGCTTATTCTCTTGGAGCTATCATTTATAAAAGTGTAAAAGTGTCATTTAAATTTTTCACCATATAACTCCCTAATCCATCTTCTGACACAGCTAAGACTGATTACACAAACAGGTTCAGGAGTAATGGGAATAGTATTTGAGCCTAACCTTGCAAGATTGTGTACCTCTTCGTTGCCAAGAATGCCCGAATGACCAAGCACCCACTCAATCGCAACTCTATTAGGCTCAGACAGATTTTTAAGTGCTATACTGCATTCTTTAACAACCTTTGAGTATACATAATAATTATTTAGAGTACCTATTGCTGCCTGACTGTCACTTTGCCTAGCAGTAGGTTTTGAGCATGATGTCAAATTTCTAGGATCTCAGATTGAAATACCAAAGCATGTTTGCCAGGAGGTATTTTGACCCATACTAAGGTGGACTAATATAAGAGTTAGGAGCCTGTTTGACTCTTTCTCATTAAATGACGGGTTATTCAGTGATCAATTCTAATTTCAAACTATCTCGCAGCCTTTCCGTGGGGCAGTTGGTAATTTTTCTGCAACTGAAGATCAAGGGCATTTTTGAACGTTGCCTTCTATAAAACACGTAAGTGGTCAGTAGAGATGATGAAAAGTATTCCGTCCTCAAGGACACTCCATCTTCCCCTCTCATTGTTGCTAAAAGATTAAGGACTGTAAAAGTTTTCTTTTTAACTGTAATAATTTATGCCCAAAATGAAAAGTGCTTTTTCTTAGCAGTTCTTTTTAAGATGAAAAAAAAAAACATATAAAAGTGGGAGGTTACAAATTTGGATTTTTTACAAGCCTAACACACAAAATAACAAAAAACCAAAATGACTGCAGCTTTTGCAATCCAAAATGATATGTTAGAGCTAATAAAGATATACAAATCAATGAATAATAAAATAGTGAATTATATAACTAAAGATTAGCTTCAACTAAGATTAGTATTAGATTAATATTCATAAAAAAATATTAATCTATATTTATAATATTAATCTATGTTTTTAATTGAAAGTCCTTGCTGAACGCACACCCCTGAAGAAAACCTGCAAAGTCGGGTCGAAACGTTGGTTTGAAATAAAATAGTTTTTCCACTATTTCAGTCTCTTTATGACCGCCAACCCAGACCATCTCCTTCCTCTAAAATATAAAAAAAAAAATGATCATACCTTCCGTAAAAGCTGAGACATAACTTTAATTTGCTGTCCTTTAGTTAGCAATGAAGTGAGAGAGACACCAGTAACACGTGCCATTTCCATATAATTAATTATACTCATTAGCTTATCCAAAAGTTTAATAGGCAAGTAGGCATCTTTCAAACAATAAACAGCCAGCCTGAAAAACAAAGAATTTCAAAAGTTGTGAAAAGCTAAATAAAATAAAATCTTAAAATATTGAATACAATTTAACAAAGTGGCTGAATTTTTATAAATGCAAATAAAGTGATTTTTTTCTGTTGGCTTTTCAGATCTATGGCGACCTGATCCATTATTGTCTATCTCTGCCTATCTTGGGCTATTATTTTCCAATTTCCTGCATGTGAATCAGCAACAGCTTTGTTGACTGGCTTGGCAAAAGCAATAATGATTTTTGAAAAAGCAGTATTTTATATGTTTAAAGTTTTTTTTGTTTTTTAAAAATAAAAAGTGTCCTTTTCTAATTGATTTATTACATTAAGTCCTGGATTCTAGAAACAAAATTTTTTTTTTTTTTTTTTTGATATTTTAATTATATATTTATTTATTTAGAAATATTACATTCTGTCACATCAAGGACATTTATAATAGTGATCAGAGAAAGCACACTCACACTCTATTTACAATAAAAAAAAAAAAATAATAATACATAAACTTAATAATAATAAATACAATAAAATAAAATAAATGTAAACAAAATTAAAGATTGGTATTAATTTATTGCAGTTTTTCTTGCTTACTTTGGGGTGACAGAATATAAAATCACATAATGTTTTTGACATGTCGTGCGTATGGATATGAATGCACCTCTGAATGAGCATGTGTTTGAAAACAGACGAGTGGGAAGACCATGTTTGCGCTAGCAAGACTGTGTGGCTGCTGATGCATGTAGACTACTTGGTGTCAGAAATTGGAAGACTGCAGCAACTAACCGGGAGAACTGGAGATGCATGCTGGAGCAGGCCAAGTCTCGAATAATTGGGATGTAGTGCCATTTAATAATAATAATAATGTTTTTTAAAGAACTAGAGGCAAATCTCAACTTATTTCATAATAACCTCAACTTAGTTAACAGAGAATTAGAGCTAATTAAAGAATTAAGTTTTTCTAAAAGTGTGGTATCTGAAGAGAAGCTAAAGGGAAGTGATAAAAAAATAAGTGAATAATCCATTATTTTATGAAAAATAGGACTTTGCAGTTTAGGTACTTAAATTAAAGTCCTCTTTAAATGATTGATAAAGATAAACTCTATTTTCATTTGAAGCAAAATTTTATATTATTTACAATTAGGCAATTTTTAATTATCTACATTACATTTATTTTTTATTTATTATTTCCTATTCAACTTTGTCAATTTCTTATTATCAGCACATAAGAAAATATATAATCGTGGGTAAATGGTTGACTGTCGTTAATAATGAAGAGAAGAAATAGTTGGGGTGATCAGTCAAATAAGAAGGCAAAAATAAATATTATCATTTATTTTTGCCTTCTTGATCTGGACTGATCAACCCAACTATTTCTTCTCTTCAAGAAAATATATATTATAAAAATAGCCTATATCCATCATGTTATATCCTCCACCTCCTCTTTTTTTTATTTACTAGTTTTTTTTTTTTATTTTATGCACAAATATAAATCCCAAACATAGTATTGTAATATTAAATTTATAAATATCTGAAATATTTGATATTTCTTTAACCTTCTTCTAGATTGAGCATCACCGTTCTGCAAATCTGTAATAATGCTATGATGAACATCTTCTTTCTGTTCTTGAAGGAAATGGAAACTAACAGCATTCAAGGTATAAGACCTCAGCTTGTAATCTCGCAAAAGGACCTGAAATTGAAGACAAAATCATTAAGATATGTATAGAGTATATGAAATTCTCTGACTTTTCCTGGTCATTTTTGGATAAATAATATGTAGTCCACATAATTAAAATAGTATAATATGAGCATAATTTGTTATACTGACTTTTAAACTTATTTAACAAAATTTAAATGCTCATTTTAGGCATACAAAATTAAGGAAAATACAAACTGCCTTTATTGGCACTGGAACAATTTGTTAATAAATAATTTTAAATTAAAAAAAAAAACAAAACTATTTACTGGAAAAAAATCATGGATAAACTTATGTTTTATTTTAGTGTTTTTTTTTTTTTAAGATAAATTGTTTTTAGACTGTTATAATATTTAAAATCATAAAGAAACTCAGTTCAATGAATTCTAGTAAACAATGTAGAATTGTTTCTCACAAGTACCAAACGCATAAAATAAGTTTCATCAATCAGATGATTTTTTTTAACCTCTCTGGCCATTTCTGATAAACAGGAGAGAGAGAGAGAGAGAGGGTTATTGCACAGAGGGAAAGTAAAGATGAAATAAATTTCAATCGCCCCAGGCTAGATTCCAACTGGTGCGACTAGACTCGAGGGTGTTAAGATGATGATACCAAAACACTTTCAGGAATCAGAGCCTCAGCGTGTAGTATATAAACTTGTGTATAAATAACTAAACTTTTTATTGTGACTGATATTAATTCTGAACCATAACAGCAAATCCATCCTTACATTCCCTAACTAGTTAAATTTCCTGACTTGCAATGATTTTCTATAAAATTCCCAGATCATGTATCGATTATAACCTTTTGAGTATATGTGATTTATAACCTGAATAAAAATTAAATAAATTAATTAATTTAATAAACAAACAAAATAATTTAATATATATATTATATATAATTATATATTTATATTTATTTATATGTAATATATAAATTTATAGTAATATATATCGATAAATATATTATATATGTATGTATATTATATTGGAATTAACAACCCTAATTGTTGGAGCTTTGTAATTTGTTGTAGTGGTGTAGCTGAGGAAAACAGTTTAATTATTTTTTTCCTAAAACAAATAGCCATAGGTTAAAATATTATTTCTTATCTTGTGTCAATTATAACCATGCTTGTTATAATCAACACATGATCCAAATTCCCTTACATTTTCAAGTATTCTATAATATTCACTGGAAGAACAAATTCAATAATTTAAATAAAATTTACTTTGGAACTTCTGACCTAAAGATTACAAAATCTTTTAAGATGTTAGCTATGGTTATGGTCCTCAATGTCCGATATTCGTCTCAACTACCAAATGGCTGGAATTGTTTCGAATTTTGTCATTCTTATGAAGTCTCTAAAATGGTAATTTTTAAAAATATTTGAATGGGAGTTGGATAGATGTTGGGGAAGATTTTTGGGATGAGATTAATGGGGAGTAGGAAAGAATTTTTTTTTTAAGATACAAACTTAAATGATTATATCATTATATCTGATAAAAAGTTTTTGGGAAACCGGGGACCAATACCATACCAGACTGATTGTTGGGGCCAGGGGTATTTCGAAATTAAAACACCATTCTTTCCCCAGTGAGTTTCCTCAAAGATGGAGAAAATATGAGTAAAATTAAATGATAGGAAAAAATGAAAAAAAAATTAGTAAAAAATGAGACTTGTAAAAGAAGAAAAAAAATGCATGCACATCAAATAATATTTTTTATTATTTGGGTTTTTCCACAACTTAAGAAGTCATACAACTGTAAAGAGTCTGGAATACGTCGACTTGCATCACCTCTACATTGATTTTCAGCAAGCATACAGCTCAGTGGATAGGCAGGTTTTGATGAGGGATCTTCTCTCTCTGGGTCTGTCTAAGAAGCTCACTCGCTTAATAAAAATGACTATAGTAGATACCAGATGCAGAGTGAAACTACAAGGATTGCTGTCAGAGGAGTTCTCTGTTTCGGGAATAATACAAGGAGACACCAAGGCTACTCCCCTTTTTAACATGACCTTGGAGAAGGCGGTAAGGGCCATAAGAACCAACCCGGGAGGTACGATCTTTGACCGCTTCACACAACACATGGCGTATGCAGATGACGTAGAGATTGTGGCAAGGACGCTCCCAGCGCTGGCGGTGCATTGAAGGAATTTGAGACCGCTGCAGCAGCTCGAGGAGTACATGAAGAGTTCAAGACATGCAGTCATCAAGATCGGACACTAAACATAGGCCAACACGAGTTCCCCCGCATGCAGAGAGTTCAAGTACCTGGGATCCCTTATGACAGCAGACAATGATGTAGAAGCTGAGATAAGAGCAAGGATTTCTGCGGGAAGCCAATGTTTTTATGCCATACAGCGACTACTCATGTTTCGAAGACTATCGAGGAATGCCAGATTGACAATCTATAAAACAATGATTCATCCGGTAGTCACATATGGAAGCGAGACGTGGGTTATCTCAGCAAAACATGAGAGGGCTCTTGGAGTGTGGGAGCGTAAGATACTTATCTATACTGTAAGAATTTACGACGTTTCATATATTATCGTACATATTATATTAGGGGTTTGTGATTATCATTGGTGGAAAACAAAAATTGAAATTTTAGAGAAAGGAGATGGACTGGGTGGGTTGGTGGTCATTAAAAGACTAAAATAGTGAAAAAACTATTTTATTTGAAGTTTTATTGAAAGAAAAATTAAAATAATATCAAATTAAGGACTTAAAGGTCTGCCACCTCCAACCATCTCCTTTCTCTAAAATATACAATGGTCAACCACCAAGTATTATAATCAAGTAAGTAATACCTTAAAATGTTGATAACATGGAAAATCGAATTAGTGTTTGATCAATATTTAGAGGATCCTTCGGAGTATTTAACATACCGGAGACCAGCCTCCAGAGCCTCACTGAACATGGAATGCAGGCCTGCTGTGGGATATATGTTATCACCTTCAGGTTCTTAGCATCTGGAAGTAAACCTGCCCCGGAGGAAATGAAAGAGGAGGCACCGAAAGCAGGCACATCAAAGGAGAGGGAGAACAAGGAATCTTCCTCTTCGGGAAGGAGTGCGTCGAGGACGGGGTCGAGGCCGTCGGCCGGGGCAGGAGGCGGGGCTAAGCCAAAGGAACCAGTGAAAACTGGTTACAGAGGCGAACCCCAGCAGCCACTGTCGCGGTCAGGTGGCCAGACCTCTGTCTCGCAGCACTCATCTAACACTGGTGGGGGTTCGAAAGTGAGGTCGAGAGGCGGGGAGAAACCTAAAGACAAAGTGAAAACTGAGTCTGATGGAGAAACCCTACCATCGGCCCCGTCTGGAAAACCACCTTCCAGAACATAAACAATCAAAAATATATGAAACTGCTGCAGATCAACGTCCACCACTGCATTGCGGCATGTGGAGTGTTGCAACAGTATATAAAAGGTAATGATATTGATATAATATTAATTCTTGAACCTTACCTATATGGCAAGGCAGGATCAAAGGACTTAATATGCATGAGTATGGAATAATATCTGCACCCACATATCCTAGAGCCTGCCTCCTTTTTAAAAACAAACTAAAACTGCTGCCTCTATGGCGATTCTGTTCGAGAGATCTTGCAGCAGCCAAATATACCCAACAAGGGTATAACAAATCATTAATCATAGCAGCGGTTTATCTGCCATATGAACATCCAGAACCTGCAGAAGGAATGGATGAACTACTAAAGAGTAAGGAGGAAATTGTTGCTGCCCTGGATGCTAATGCACACAACGAGATCTGGGGAAGCACAAACACCAACTCAAGAGGTGAGAAACTCTTAGATACTATAATTAAATATGATCTTGATATTCTGAACAGGGGGAATAAGCCTACCTTTTGTAATAGAATTAGGACTGAGATCATTGACATAACACTAGCGACTCGATTGACTATTGACCTTAGAGATAACTGGCATGTCTCTGATGAAGAAACATGCTCGGATCACAGGTATATCAGGTTTGATATATCTGACAGAATACAACATGATGTGGAATATAGAGACCCCAAACGAACAAACTGGGTGTCCTATAGTTCTAACTAGGAGGAGGCTGTCAAATGCTGCCCCAAAGTTATCCACAATACATGGCAATTAGAAATATTAAATACTTCAATTACTGATGCTATGACTAGAGCATATTTGGCCAGTAATGAAGCCAAAAAAACTACAACCAACAGGAAAGTGTCCTGGTGGAATGATAGTCTAACAAAGCAAAGAACACTCATGAGGAGACTGTTCAATGCTTCTAAAAAATCTAGCAATTGGGCTACCTATAGGAAATCTCTTACTGAGTATCACAAATCTGTCAGGAAAGCCAAAAGACAAGCCTGGAAAAGGTTTTGTCTGGAGGTGGACAACATGCCGGCGGTATGTAAGGTAAACAAAATACTGTCAAAACAAACCAACACAGGTATAATGGGAACACTCAAATATGACAATAAGCACACCACGAATGAGATGGAAACATTGAGTGTGGTAGCAAAAGCTCATTTCCCAAATTGTTTTACGACAGTAAATGAACTTCTTGACCCCAATACACAGGATCGTGGTACTGGTGCACGTATGTGGGGTCTGGCAAGAAGAGTGATAACAAACAGTAGACTTGAATGGGCAGTGAATTCATTCTCTCCTTTCAAATCTGCTGGAACTGACGAGATCTTTCCAGCACTGCTGCAGAAGGGTCTCCCAGAGATAAGGCCATACCTTCTAGAACTTCTAAGAGGTAGCCTAGCACTGGGATATCTACCATGTAAATGGAGGATATCCAAAGTGCGATACATTCCTAAACCAGGAAAGGAATCTTATGAAGACCCCAAGGCATTTAGGCCAATATGTCTGTAATCTTTCTTAATGAAGACATTGGAAAAGATACTGGACAGACATATTAGGGAACACATATTGGCTACTAGTCTAATACATTCAAAGCAATATGCCTACCAACCAGGAAAATCCTGTGAGGTGGCGCT